AGCTCACTGCAACCTCAAACTCCTGGGCTCAAGTGGTTTTTCTGGCTCAGCCTCCTGGGTAGCTGGGACTACAAGTGTGTGCCACTACACCTGGATAATTTTTTCTATTTTTTGTAGAGACAGGGTCTCATTCTTCCTCAGGCTGGTCTCAAGCTCCTGGCCTCAAGTAATCCTCCCACTTCGGCCTCCCAGCGTGTTAGGATTACAGGCATGAGCCACTCTGCCCGGTCATAATTGTTTATTTTAAATCAACCCATTACCTGTGTGATCCATACATCTGACTCAATAAGATAAAATAGAATCAGGGTCAGAGTATTAGGTGTCCTGAAATCTACAATGGTGAGGAGTCCATTTTTTTGTTTGTTTGTTTTTTGTTTTTAATTTTTCTCCCTCCCTCACTTCCATCCAGAAGTCCATGTTTTAAAGCCCCACGAACAGGCATTTCCACCGCATAGAATAAATACTCACGAAACCATACGACATTATACTTGGCAATCTAAGCAAATGTCAAAGGTCTGTGTGCACTGTTCTGTAAAATTAGTTAATAAATAAAGCCAAAGCTCATCCTAGCTAGATATTTAAAGTTAATGAAAGTGACCAGAGCTAACATTAATTCCAAATATCAAACTGATACTACACCGTGAAGATCTGTACTTGTTTAAACACAGAATAGATTGGTAACCTCTATCGGTTGTGACCATCTGTTTCAATTCCTATACTTAGTGATTTGATGGTCTCATCTCAGGGTTGAGGCAACAGTGAGTTTTGATGGGAAAGAATAATCAGAAATTATGAGCAGAGAAATTGGAGGTCAGTTAAGAGAGCCATTCCCATTTTCTTCTTACTTAGGGTGAAGTACATACAACTAGATCTTGTTGAAAGAAAGAACAGAAATTAAGAAACCTTGTGTGGTAGTTCTAGTAATTCAGAACTTGTTTTTGTCACTTAAATCTATTTGTTTTTCCCACAAGGAATCATGACTGTTAGATTGCATGAACTGACATTTAATTTTGTAATAACTCAAGTATATAATGTTCTTTTATTTTTTTTATAATTTTTTTCCTTTTTTAATTTAGCTGCTAAGTTTGTTATGCAGGTTCTTTTATATATTTACAAAAAGAGATCTATCTCCTTTCTCTTGAAAATCACAGGATTACAGAAGTAAAGAAAATACAAGAGAAAATTTAGTGTAATAAATTTTAATAAATAAATAAATAATAATAAAAATAAGAAACTACCTTATTTCATAGATCAACTGAGGCTCAAGGAGGTAAAATTATTTAACTCAGGTTACACAGCAAGTTAGAACTTGACTTAACCTACTTCTAGCCATCTATACTGTTTTCTATACAACTTCTCTTCAATTTTAATATCCAGCAATATATATTTGTAAATTTCCCAAAATAACCTTAAAAGAAATGTCCTCTAAAATACGTATGTTCATTTTTAGAATAGAAGATTAGCAGCTCGTATTTCTAGAAGATTGGTATTTTAAATCAACATCACATTAAGGAAGCTTTTCAAAAAAACAAGAAAA